CAGAGCCAGCCACGATCTCACCAAAGTGTGTGGCGGTTGTTTTTGGAGGTTATTGGTTAGGAGTCTTGTGTCTTAGTTAGGAATCTTGTGTCTTAGTTAGGAGTCTTGTGTCTTAGTTAGGAATCTTGTATCTTAGGTAGGAGTCTTGTGTCTTAGTTAGGAGTCTGTGTCTTAGTTAGGAATATTGTGTCTTAGTTAGGAATATTGTGTCTTAGTTAGGAGTCTGTGTCTTAGTTAGGAATATTGTGTCTTGGTTAGGAATCTTGTGTCTTAGTTAGGAGTCTTGTGTCTTAGTGAGGAATCTTGTGTCTTAGTTAGGAATCTTGTGTCTTAGTTAGGAGTCTTGTGTCTTAGTGAGGAATCTTGTGTCTTAGTTAGGAATCTTGTGTCTTAGTTAGGAATCTTGTGTCTTAGTTAGGAGTCTTGTGTCTTAGTTAGGAATCTTGTGTCTTAGTTAGGAATCTTGTGTCTTAGTCAGGAGTCTTGTGTCTTAGTTAGGAATCTTGTGTCTTAGGAATCTTGTGTCTTGGTTCGTCGTGGTAAAAGGGACGGGCTTGGACACGAAAAAACGAGCACAAAATTGCAGTGGTGGAAAATACCTAATCGTCCCGTCCCGTGCCGTCCCGTGCCATGCCGCCTCGTCCCATCCCGTCCCATATCTTCCCGTCCGTCGTGTTATATTTGTTTTTTCCCCCACGTTCTTTTCTCGCCGTCGCTGTCTGATACGATTGAAACCAACCGGACCAACCCGCGATCGCAATCGACATGGACATGAACATGGACTGGATAACCAGAGCAACCGGCAGTACGTGATGGACTTCGTGGGGAACCTCCTCCTGACGTCGTTCCCGAACCTGACCAAGGCCCAGGTGGCCGTCTTCGTGTCCGGCCTGCTGAACTCGGACATGGACCTCAACACGTTCAAGCTGCACCTCCGTGACTTCCTCGTCACCCTCAAGGTGTGCATCAAATCGATTTGCAATGAAGGTGTCTGTACGCCTTCAACATGCATGTCTACAATCATCGTTTCGCTTGTTAGTCTCTCTGTGTTAGGGGTTGGTCGATCTGTCTCGCTCTTGTTGTAGCCGTTCTATCTCATGGTTTTGTTTGTTTTTCGCGTCCTCCCTATGTCTACCCCCCTCGCCCCTCCTTTCCTATTTCCATTTCTCGAAAAACAAGCGCGGTTTGTTTAAACGATGGTGGTACCAATTTACGTCCCGCTCTTTTTTTTTCCATTTTTTCATTTTTCTTTTCCTCTGTTGCAGGAGTTCTCAACCGAAGACAACGCCGACCTCTTCCTCGAGGAGAACCTCGCCAAGAAGCAAGCCGACCAGGACAAGGCCAGACAGGCGCAACTCGCCGTGCCGGGTCTGGTGAACCCCCACGATTTGCCAGAGGACGACATGGCAGACCTTTAGACCTACCACCCAGCTCCCTCCCTCCTTCCCCCCGCCCCCGCGCTTCTTAGTTCTACATCTTGTTTCTCTCCCCCGCGCTGGCGGCGGCGTAGTCGTGTTGTCTTCGTTTGCACTGATAGTAGCTAGCACTGCTGTTTTTTATTTTAGTCTTGTCCCATTCTTTTTCTTGTTCTCTCTTGTTTCTTTTCTTTACAGCAGTCTCCAGTACGGGTGGTGCTCGCTTTCTGCTAATATGGCGGCAACGCAGACAGACGTCTGAGAGTTGTATTCTATGGTATGCTACCACACATTTTTTCGGAGCACGGGGCCATCGGTAGAGCGGCCACAGCAGCAGCAGCAACTACAAGAGCAGCGGCAGCGATTGATTGTGGCAAAGGCAGCCGTCGCAGATATATGAGTAACTTATGGTGGGCATCAGCTGCGGTAGTAGCGACGACAGCAGCAGAGATGAGGATCGGGCAGCCAAACTGTGATCGGTTGGGCGTATGTTTGCGTTTGGCGGTGGCGTTGAGCCGGCTCGCCCGGCCACAGCAGCACCAGAGGCTCTGTTGTTGTGGGCTTGAGGTACGTAGCTGGGCGTCCTAGACGTTCTACAAGTGGCGCCACATTTTGGCCCGCGGCTGCGGGAGGAACAAGGTCGGCAGAAGGTGTTTTTGTTGTTGTTGTTGTGCGTTCCGTGCTGTATTGGATGTTCGCGCAAGCCGGAGAAGCCGAAGGGAAGGGGTTGGAGATTGTGGTTTCTGGCGCGTGCGTGCGTGCGTGCGTGTGTTTGTGTGTTGCTTTCCTTTGCATCGAACGCACCAAGCTACTTGACCAATGAGCGTGAGTCTTGCAGGGGGCAAACGCGGAAGGAACCAGCCGCAGCCATCCCTCCTTTGACACAAAAGGGCTGGGGGTGGGGAAGAGGCGTTGTGTGCGCAATAACCGATGTGGATGCAGGGCTGTACGAGAGAGAAAAGAGGACGAGGGAACTTGCTTGCCTTGCGAATAGGAACACATGATGGTGGCAGCCGCAGCCATCCCTCCTTTGACACAAAAGGGCTGGGGGTGGGGAAGAGGCGTTGTGTGCGCAATAACCGATGTGGATGCAGGGCTGTACGAGAGAGAAAAGAGGACGAGGGAACTTGCTTGCCTTGCGAATAGGAACACATGATGGTGGCTTCTGCGCTTGGGGTCGTGAGGGGGACGAGGATTTTGCTCGAGTGCAAGCGTGGAGCTGGTAAAACGATCGAGTTTTCGTTCAAGATAGGCAAAGAGGGAAGGGGGACCCGGGTATGGATATATCACCCGCCTCGCTACTGGTACTTTACCATTGCTGCTGCTGCTGCTGCTGCTGCTGCTGCTGCTGGCTAGTCTAGGTTTTTGTCTGTCCAAGGAAAGGGATTAAACGTTGATGGGAAAGCCAGCAGAGTCAAATCCAATGACGGGGTCATTTCTCATGCGCTCGTTGTTTGTGGTCCTCCCAAAAGCCGTACCATCTATCTCTCGTTTTACCGCGTGGAGACGGACAGAGAGAGATAACAAGCTTAGAATGTTTTTTGTCCGAGACACCG